GAACTTAAGTTTATTTTATTTCAGCTAGATGCCACAAAATCATTTCTTATTTTATTTAGTTTAAGCTGAATTGCAAAATAACAAAACAACAAAAAAAAAACATTTATTTAAAAAAAAAAAAGAAAAAGGCTAAAAATGACTAAAACTTACATTTTAAATGGCAATGGAAACTAAAAAAAACTCATAATATTAACAAAAACGTTATAGTGTATCAATGATACTATAATAATAGTGATTGTTAGTCATCACTGCATGTAAAATCATCCTTTTAATTGCACAATAATTGGTCTGAGTCATAACCACATTAACTTTGTGTGACACACCCACCTACACACTCAGTATTGTATTGTAGAGATTGACTGGTGAGTGCTGGTGTGTAATATGGATCTGTAGAAAATAGCGGAGTAAAAGTACCGATACATCACTTCAAATGTACTAAAGTAAAAGTACACAATTTTTAAACTACTCTAAAAAGTACAATTACTGATAAAAACTACTTAATTACTGTAACGTGAGTATTTGTAATTCGTTACTTCACACCCCTGGTCGGTATATAATACAGCACGTGGTGTATGCCATGCCTCGCCTTATTTGTTTTTGTTAATAAACGTTTTATAAGCTAGTTTGTCATTGTATCTTACTGTTTTATTGTTGTTATGCTTTTTAATTAAGAATAACAATGGATTTACATTCACTTTGTGTGACACACCCACTTACACACTCATTATTGTATTGTAGAGGTTGACTGGTGAGTGCTGGTGTGTAATATGGATCTGTAGTATGGATTTTAGTTGTGGTTACTGTTAAACTACTACATTACCCACGCTCCACTGCTTTTTCTGTCAGCCTACAGGCCTTAATACACCCACCATGCGTGTGTGTGTGTGTGAGGGTAATTAAGAGTTGTATGTGTGTGTATTAGAGCATAATGGCTCCACCCATGTTAGTTACAATACGACTTTTCCGTTTTACCCAGAAGGCATTGTTCTGAGCACGCTCTGAACGGAAAGGCAGAGCCCTTTTCTGCAGCAATGGCTGTCAATATACACACCAAAACACACACATGACATGTAATTTCCTGCATTTTTGCCCCCCAGAATCACACGCACTGCTGGGTCTAGTGTTTTTTTCTCAAGAGGGGTCGAGAGTTCAAATGTGCGTGCATGTGTTTTGAGAAAGTTTGTATGACAACAGGGTCTCCGTACTAAGTACACACTTAAACACACATTTTAAAAAAATACAATCTTCCTTAATTTTTTGAATGTCAGTCTAGGTTTCTTGCACCAAAACAGTTATAAATGGATTTTTTAAGACCATATTCCACCCTCTTTGACTATTTTGTTTGTTAATGCTAGAAATTACACACTTTAAACCGAGTTTTGCTGCTGTACCTTTAAGATTTCAACCTCTATTATGTTGAACACTACAAAGTGCCATACTTCTCACTGTTATTTTTCACAATGGGCTGAAGTTCCTAAATACTGCGTAATTGTTGTGTAAATCTGGGCAGTCTTATGTTAATGACCTCATTGCTGTAATGTCATAATCATAACGATTTTTTGAATGAGCTATGCTGCTTAGTTTGTGTCTGTGGGTGAATGGGAATTGAGCATCTCATATCATGTGAGAGTATTTTTTAACAGCAGATCTTTCTTTGAACAGGGAGATAAATTCAGAACTACACCAGCTGCTTATGTGCAGTGTCTCTCTCTCTTTCTCTCTATAATAATGGCCCATAAAATTCCAATTATGATAAAACCCCACAGACGGGGATTCTAGTTTATGTAATTGCCTGTGGGAGAACGTTTGTTTGGTGATGTTTATCGCCAGAAAGGCTTGTGTATGTTTATTTGTATAGTTTAATTGTGTTGATTATATAAAATGACTCTGATCTTACATTGATTGCAGGTTGTAAATATCCCACCCTCCTCTTTCAGTGACAGATCGTCCCTCTAAACGTATCTGTCATCTCTCTGATAACCAAAACATTGCTGTGAGTTTGTCGGAGATGAAGCCAGAATTTACTGAATTGTCTGGAGTTTTTTGGTCTGTGACAGACAAAAATGTTTTGATGAGAAGCATCACTCTTTTATGCCTTTTGTTTGCTTGTTTTGTGAACTTATCCTTTGTTTTGTTGTTTTCCAGAATCCCAGAAGTCTCATCTCTCCTCTTTCACAATGAAATTGATGAAATTTCATTCCCCGAAGATTAAACGAACTCCATCTAAGAAGAGCAAACAGCTCCAGCCAGAGCCTACGGTGACGACTCCAGAAAAACCTGTCAACAAGGTAGAGCAACTCTATCCACTCCCTTTGAGTTCTACTGTTACTCTATTGTAACTCTACATTAATAAATATTATTTTTTTCCACACTTCAAACTCTATAGTAACTCTACTGCTTCTCTATTGCATTAAACATGAACTTTCCACCCTCCTACTTCTACAGTAACCCTAAATAAAACTCTCTCAACTGTACAGTAACTCTACAGTCGCTCCATATCAATACATTTTAACTCTCTATTCTCAATTCTGCAGTAAACCTAGTGGTGCTCAATCACAGTAAACACCCTCCTAACACTACCATTGCTAAATACAACCCTCTCAACTGTGCAGTAACTCTACAGTCACTCTATATCAATGATAATCTCTTTACTCTTAATTCTGCAGTAAATCTAGTGCTGCTCTATCAGTGAACATTAACTTTCCACCCACAGAACTTTACCTTAATGTAAACACAACCCTCTCAACTGTACAGTAACTCTACAGTCACTCTATATCAATGAATATTATGTAACACCTTTACATATTATGTACTCACAACTCTGGAGTAAATCTACTGCTGCTCTACCACAATAAACTTTCCACCCTCCAGCTTCTACAGTAACTGTAAATTCAACCCTCTCAACTGTACAGTAACTCTACAGTCGCTCTGTATCGATGAATATTATGCAGTAAATCTAGTGCTGCTCTACGACATTGAACATTAACTTTACACCATCCTACTTCTACTGTAACTCTAAACAAAACCCTCTCAACTGTACAGTAACTCTACAGTCGCTCTATATCAATATTAACTCTCTACTCTCAATTCTGTAGTAAACTTACTGCTACTCTACCTGAACTCTGCAGTAACTCTGTTGCTGCTTTATCACTGCAAACATCAACTTTGAATCTACAGTAAATCTCTTGCTGCTCTACCACAGTAAACATTTACTTTACACCCTCAGAACTCCACCGTAACCTTACTCTCCCTCTACATCAGTGCACATTAACTGTATACCCTCTTAAAGGGTTAGTTCACCCAAAAATGAAAATTCTGTCATTAATTACTCACCCTCATGTTATTCCAAACTCACCCTCATGTTATTCCAAACTCACCCTCATGTTAGTCTGTAAAGTTTGAATCAACAGCTTCTTAGCTGTATATTAACACTACGACTGCTCTGTTTCAACTCTACATTAAGTCTATTGCTGCTCTATCACCTTAAAAATCAGCTTTCCACTCTGTCTTTCAACAGAAGGTGAGTCGGTTGGAGGAACAGGAGAAGGAGGTGGTGAGTGCTCTACGTTACTTTAAGACGATTGTGGACAAGATGAACGTCGATACGAAGGTTTTGCAGATGCTTCCTGGTTCGGCTAGTAAAGTATTGGAAGCCATATTGCCTGTGATGCATGTAGAGGCTCGGATACAGCACAGGTGAGTGTACCAGCATTAACAAATCAATAATAAATGGTATTTCGATATGTACCATGCTAATACCATGGTTTTCTTTGCATGCAGCCCTCACTCCATTTTTCTTAAATTAAAATCCATCTCTCTAACCGCAGCTCGGCAGTGTCCTCCTGTCATAACCGCGTCTATCAGAGTTTGGCGAATCTCATTCGCTGGTCCGACCAGGTGATGCTGGAGGGCATCGACCTCGACGACAAGGACACTGTGGCAACCGTCACCACGGTGATCAAAGCTGTGCTGGATGGTGTGAAGGTGAGGGGATGAGAAGTGCATGTGACAAGGTTAAAACAACACAGGCATATTTATAATCCGAGGGTGTGTGTTTGTAACAGGAGCTGGTGAAACTCACTATAGAGAAACAGGAGCAACCGTCCCCGACGTCCCCCAGCAAACCAGTGTCTCCTGTGGCCAAAACGGACAGGTACAGTCGTAAATGCCGATATGAATTTACCCATTTTGCATAGTGACCGTTAATAATGTTTGTCTCTCTATCTCAGTGTGTGTGAAAATCCTCTAACCGAGCGAGAGAAGGCGATCCTCAGTAAGACCACACCCATTGTCACGCCCACTGACAGCTTGACTGACATGTCAGAGGAAGAGGTTGCTCCGCCCAAACCTCCTCTACCCGGAGTTAAACTGGCAGAGCACAGGTGAGGGGCATGGCTTTAGAAATATGAAAGTATTGTTGTTTGTGGGTTTAGAAAACTAAAAAAGAAATGATAGTTTCACAAAACATTTTTTTTTAAAGTAGATACTACTTTTGGGTTCATTTAGCTCACTTGAAATCAAAAGATTGAGCTTGTCGCATTGTGGGATTGCTTTCTAGTAAATGTAGTAGCTCATTGAAGAATCCCATGCATACAGAAAGTTGCCCAGAATACATATTGAATTTTAGTTCAGTATGCCATTCCAAACAGGCCTTCGTATTGGTTGTGTCCCAATTCATTTAACACCTCACTGTTTCCTTTACAGCTGACAGATTAAGGTAAACTTGTGTAGTGTGTAGGATGCATTGATGGGGTGAACATCAAGTGTACTTTAGTGTGCGCTAGTTAGTGTGTGCTGAACTGTATACTCAGGAAGTATATTAGCATGTACTAGGCAGTTGCAGTATGTAGTATCTTTAGTGATGGTAATTTCCCACAGATGAGTCATGTTCATTCTTAAACCTGCTTTTTTCCACAAGCAAGTATCTAAATATATTTGAATGAGAACACATCCGACACACACACACACACACATGTAACAGCATCCTCTCTCTGTGTCGCTTGGCTTCCGAAGCAGAAGTTTGTTTTTCCGTTTACTTTTTGTCTGTGATTAGAGACACGTAGTAGTAAAATTGCATCATACACACTTGCAAAGGTCACATATGGATGGTTGTGAGTTGATTTTTACCATCTGATGAGAAGAGGTGTGTGTGGAGGGTGTATGAAATCATGGTAGCTATTTACTTAAGTCAGAGTACATAGCATATTTAATTCAACATCATTGAAAACTCTCAAAATCTCACACTTCTGCAGGTCACATTTAATTCTCATAATTTTTGTGTTTTTGCAATAGAAATTTGTGTAAATGTACATTTTCTATTAATGATGCACCAATAAATCGACTGATATTTAGGGATTTTTTTTTTTTCAGATTCAAATGTTCAATATCATATATAAAATATTTTATTTTTATATGAAAATTCGGTTAATATTATGACATGCTAATTTAATAAAAAAATTTAATGTACATCTTATTTTGCATTGTTAAATCAAATTATTTATATAATTTATAATTTTTAAATATGAATAATTATTAATAATTATAGCCATGTCAAGTTATTTTATAGCCTTTTTTAATGTAACTATCTATATGCAAAGCTGTTTTTAATGATTTTTTTCTTCATTTGTGAAAAATAAATCATTCATCAATAACCTCTGAAGTAGAACAGCCTACTTTACAATAATAATATTGTGCACAGTCAGAAAATAAGTAATTTAACCCATTTTATTGGCAATATGTTTATTCAAGGCTGTTTATTTTCACAATGTCTTTCTCAGTGTGTGAATTTTTGTTTTGTTCTAATTTTGGTAGAAAGCCCAATATTAAAGAAGTGATTAAGTGGAATACTGTAAATATCTGTAAAAATGTCAAACCTATTATCAGTGTGTCTCTAATATTTTAATATATAATGGTGTTATATTGGCCATCAGCCACCTGCACTCAGTTTTGCATCATTTTTCATCAGTATCAGCCATTATTAAACTCAGCGTGAGGTATTGAATGAACTGTACTTCCATCCCCTTACAGCCTCATTTCCATTTGCGTAAAATTAAATATAGCATCAATTCTAATTAATGTCTGTTTAGCTTGTTATGTACCATGTGATTCTTTCAACCACTGTATCTGTATTTCTCGCAATCTTCTTTGTGTCTTTCAATCACACATCATCTTTGTCTTTTCTGCATTTTCATCCATTTTTGTGCATTATTTTTCTGGAATCGTTTGTTCATCCTCTTTCTCTGTACTCTGTGATCGTTTGGTTGTCCTGGGCCAGGAACAGGATGCAGTTGTGCTCCGATCCTGTTGCCGGGCAGCGGAGGGCCACTGCGATGGAAACGTACGTTAGCCAATGGTGTTCTCTGTGTGCATTTTGACACAACACAGTTACACCCCTCGGCCTCCCTGATTGGACGGCGGCACTTAGCTGCATGTGGTTGTGTGGCAGTGTGCATCCAATTGGATTGCTCGTTGCAGAGTGACGGCCAATCATTGGAAAGCCTGATTGCAGTGAATTTGCATGGCTGACCAATGAGGACTAGTCTGTAAATCCTCAAAGAATGTGAATGGAATTTCTATAATAGTTTGTAGGATCCTAATGGGCATATTTTATAACACGCAAGTGAATGTAGAAGTGTAAAAAGTTGTAAATAAAACAGAAATTATATATTTTTTTCACTGAAAATACTATTTCAGTGTTTTTACTTTTCTAAATTTCATGTTTAATTCAACATGTTTTTTTGTGAAATTTACCAGCAATGTCTGAGTGAAAATTGTTTCTTCACCAAATTTTTTTAGTATCATTGATACTATTCTAGTTTTATTAATATTTTAATCAGTTTTTTTATTTTAATAGTTTCATTTTATGTTAATTTTACAAAAAAAATTTGTAATTTTGTTACGTTTCTGTCATTTTTAGTATATATTGTTTTTTATATGTATGTTTTTATAGATTTTATTAATTTATTACAGTTTTAGTTATTTTAGTACATGAAGATAATTAAATAAAGATGAGAAATATTACCTTGGTACCTGGCTGAAATATTTTTTTTATTTTTATTTCTTTTATTTCAGTTGACATTTTCATGAAAACGATTATTGTTTTAGTTTTAGTTTCAGTTTTAGTCCCAATAGGAATATCATAATTCTCAATAGGATACATTTCTCCTTTAGTACATCAAAAGATTATTTTCAGGATTTTTCAAATGCTGTAAAATAAACCCATTAAAAGGTTAGTTCCCCCAAAAATGAAAATGTTATCATTTATTCACCCTCAAACCTGTATGAGTCGTTGAGCACAAAAAAGATCTTTTTAAAGAATGTTGGTAACCAAACAGTTTACGGTAGCCATTGACTTTCGTAGTAGGGGGAATAAAATACTATGGAAGTCAATGGCTACCATCAACTGATTGGTTACCGACATTTTTCAAAATATCTTCTTTTGTGCTCAACAAAGAAAGAAACTCGTACAGGTTTAGAACAACTTGAGGGTAAATGATGACAGATTTTAATTTTTGTGTGAACTATCCCTTAAAATGTCTAGTAGTCTGACAATATTCTTGAACTCCTGTTAAAATTTCTGTTTATTCAGTTGTATTTAATTAAACCTTAGAAGATTCTAATTGATTCCCATTTGGATCCTTTACATATTTTGTCAAATTATTCCAAAAATTCCAAATTGAATCCTGTGCGCATTCCGTCAGGATTGTTGACTAGCGCTGCATCCCGCTCTAATCCCTCCCACTGGGTGTTCTATGATTAGTTTATTCGAATGTTGCCATGGTTACCCGCTAGAGCTTCATTGAAGTGTAAAGAATTGTCAGGGAAACCCAAGTTCCGAACTCACCACCCACCACACATTCCACCGCTGTGCTACTTTTATGTGTGTGTTAGCGTTTGTGTGTGTGTCCAATTAAATTCCAGGCTAGACCCTCACTAACTGTGTGTAGACTGTCTGTGCTTGTTTCGTTTGGCCTTGTTTCATTGTTTGTTTCATACTTGTGAGCTCATTTGCATATTTCTGCATACTGTGCCGTAGCCCGCCCGCTCTGCCTCCCAAGAAGCGACAGTCGGCCCCCTCCCCCACACGTGTTGCCGTGGTAGCGCCGATGAGTCGAGTCCCATGTGGTCTCAACCTGCCTCCTGGAGCTCTTAGACAGGTACAGCACCTGAGCACGACCCTTGACCTTTGCACCGTGCCTAATCCTGATTATTGATTATTTATTAACCACAACAAGAAGTGTAATGCTGATTTCTTAACTTGAAAGTGAAGTGTGTAATATTGAATGGTGTTTTGATCGGTGTTCTGATCATTAACTAAGGCTACATCCACACAAAGCCAGAGCTTTCCCTATCCGATCTTTTTTTTTTTTTTTTTTCCCTCGTCTCAAGAAATATCTGCGTACACAGGAAATCATGAAACAGCCAAAGTGTTTTAATTTTAGATTTTTTATTTTCATTTACATTAATTCTATTTTACCATTTGCACTATTGTTATTTAGTTTGATTTGCACTGCTTTAGTAATACAAATGTACAGTTTTTGTCATGCCAATAAAGCTCATTTAAACTAAAAACAGAGAGCATAAAACTTCATAAAGACATGCAAAATTCAAAACCGCATATAATAGTTTTGCATGTCATTACAGTGTGCATTCAGAGAATTATTAGAAAACAATGGATGTGTCAAAACCTAGAGCGACGATGTTTTTGTCACATGATCTGTGTTTAAAGCAGCAGGAGTTTGATGTGGATCTCCTCCAGAGGCGTTTCTCCGGTGGGAGCCAGTCATACGGCGGGGATTCTCCTCGTCTTTCTCCCTGTAACAGTATTGGAAAACTCAGCAAGTCCGACGAGCAGCTCTCGTCACTGGAGCGAGACAGCGGCCAGTGCTCTCGCAACACTAGCTGTGAAACACTAGGTATGCAAACTCTATTACGAATAAAAGTTGAAGGTTTTTGAACACTTATGGATATGATCCTCTCTTTCTTTGTCTTTAGAGGGATACGATCCCGATTATGACTTCCTGCATCAGGATCTATCCGAAAACGAGCCTTTACCGTTTCCGACGGGCACTGGCAGCAGTCTGAGCCCTCTCCCAGAATGCCACGGGGAGTCTCAGTCGTTAAGCCCCGCCCATGCCCCCACCCGCCCGCGTTTCAGCGCTCCCGTCACCAATCATGCTTCCCTGGAGTACTGGACCCCGCCCCTCACCAATAGCGTGCTTCCCCCCGCCGCAATGATATACAAGTGCTATAACAAGTCTCAGTTAGCTTAACGCAGTACACGTAGCAAAGGATTTTTTAAAAATTATATAATAAATAAAAAAAATATATATATATTTTTTTTACTTTTATTTTGCCATTTGCACTTTTGTTATTTTGCTTTATTTGCACTGACTTAGAAATAAAATGTACACTTTTTGTCAGGCCAATAAAGCACATAAAACTGAAAAAATACCATTACAGGAGAGAATAAAACTTCATTATAAACACTGATTTCAAAACCACATATAGAAATATTATATTTTGCATAAGAAAAATTAAGCCCATTTCAAGATTTTATGCATTGCCAGATCATTTTAATATTTTTAAATGAATTAGTCAGTTCTCAGTACCAAAACACTCTTTCTCATGTAATTACTGTAACGCAAGATGTTATTTCAGTTTAAGTTGATATGATTTTTCACTGTTATCTACAACAGGATCTGCATTTTCATAGGTCTAAATAAAAGAATACAGTAGTTTTTTTATTGTGAAATAGAAATCAAGAAAATGGCTCTATTTCATGTGTGTAACTCTTTTCTCTCTGTAGTCCTCCAGTACATGCAGTTTGTGGAGGATTACTCTGAACCGCAGCCGTCCGTCTTCTATCAGACGCCTCAGAACGAGAGTATTTACGAGCAGCGGAGGAACAAGCGCTTTCAGGAGGTTTACGGCTTCAACGATTCCTACAGCAGCTCGGACTCCGTCCACGAACCCGTCCCTCCGCCAGCGCTGCCTCCCAAACAGAGACAGCTGGTGAGTTCTGAGCATGAGCGTGAGTGCCTGAGGGCGCGGAGCATGCAGCAGGTCAGAGGTCAAACTGAGCTTCTTTAGATTAGGCAACACGTGACTGTTTTGGTGGCCACGTCAGGGTCACTGTAAAGTCAACTGGAAAATACGGATTAACTATGTGTTTTTTTTGCTTTTTGTGAAATAGATACAGATTAGATTGGGTTCCAAAGCCAGAACTCACATGCTGTGGGAAATTTGTGCCACAGCAGCATCTTTCTCTTATTTTCACATTGCCTCTTCATTTCTTTGCTGCTGCAAATTTATAAAAATCTATAAAAATAATTACATAAATTATATATATATATCCCTTTCCTAAAAGAATGTTATATAAAAATGAAAGTTTAATTCTGTTAATTTCTTTTTTAAAGGCAACATAGAAATCCAAATTGACCCGATTTACTTACTTACTAAATAAATTAAAGTTATTACATCCGTGAAAGATACAAATAATATTATTTAAACATCAAATACAAAGTAAATGTAAATACATAATTACATCATATATTGATAATGGTGTATATTCAAAAAAGAATGTAAAAGCATTACATTTCATGTTGCCTTTAAATCATTTTCTACTTTTTGATATAACTCACTTTGCCTTTCTTTCTTTTTAACCTCATTTCATTTTTTTTGTTCTTTTCTCTGTCTCACTTCTTCCTGTCCCATGTTTCTCTCTTGCGCTCTAGGCCTCCTACACTTCTTCTCCTCCTTCATCCTCCTCCTCTTCCTCTTTTTCAATTCTCCCTCCTCCTGCTGGGCTTGCGGAGGAGGCGGAGCCTGCTCTTGGTCTCAGCCTATCAGTGTCTAACTCCTTCCTCAGTGGCCACGCCTCTTTGACCACACCTGTGGTGAGTGTCAGCAGTCAGGAATGTAACATGCATGTGAACGATTACAAAAGATTTTATCCTCTCTCTTCAGATATTTAAAGGGGTCATATGATGGTTTTTTAAAGATCATTATTTTGCAACACTCCAAAGAGAAAGGAAAACTTGAAATCACATCATATGACCCCTTTAAAAAAATTATAATAATCAGTCCAATTTTTTAAATGTAATCCAAATTTTAACAATTAATTAAAGTGTCATTCTTGAGCAGAATACATTTCTGTGCTATTAAATTCATTCTTATAAAGAATCACAAGTAATTTACACAGAAATGTGTTTCTACTCATGTTGTATGAGCTATGTGTATTATGTGTAATGTAGGTTTGCTTATATATCATCTGTTTTCAGTGTGTTCTGGTCATTTTGTGTGTGGTTTGGACACACGTGCTCTTCATATGGTTTTGTCATTCATTTTCACACGTCTCTCTGGGGTGGTTATTAAACCACTGTTCAGATGTGACTTATGGAGTTTGTGAGTCCACTTTGCCCTTTTGGGTTTTTTTTTTTTTTTTGGACCGGAGCTGAATTAAAGTTTAAGTCTAAAAGCTTATCTAATCTTCATTTATCTGTTTATCTGGGTTTAAGGTTTAAGTCCAGAGCTTATCAAAATGCTGTTTAATCTTAATGTAGCATTAAACCTAAGTTTTGGGTCTGTGCTCATGGATGCCCCGGATATATGTTATTGTACTGACTAACTCTGGCCTCCAGTTGCATTTGATTTCACCAGTAACTTCCAGTGCTGCATTTGACACTATTTTTTTAGTTGTTTGTTTTTTGAAGATTTTGCATCAGAGGTGGTTTATGTAGTCAAAATGTAGATTTTTGGCATAAATTTGGGTTGTGTGCACAAGGTGAATTATTTAACAGTATCTTGTTATCTCTAGAGTTTTTTTTTATTTTTTTATTAGACTTGAGATCATTCAGAATGTGTAATTGTTTATATTGTTTATATGAGAGATTTTATCAGAGATTTTCAGCAGTGCGTCTAACCTCATCAGCTCAGAGTCTATTTATGCTGTATGAAGCTGTGATATTTTGTCTAGAATTTCAGATTCTACTGTTGATAGTATCACCTAGTAAAAAACACTAGGCATGACATGTAATGTTTCCAGCATTTAATAATTTTTCTGTCCTCACTGAAAAAAATAAAATAAATGCATAAATATAGTTTTATATAAAATGTATTTATTATTTATTATATAAACTTTTTATAGTTTTTATAAAATGTATTTATTATATTTATTTTTGATCTATGACTTACTTGGCTTTTTAAAAACTGCTACACTGAAAATGGACTTCAGAGAGTCTTTTATTATTACTAGTGTTATTGTTAGCTACAACTATAAAAAAATAGTTTTTGTTAATTGAAATAAATCTAAAATAAAATAAAATTTAAATTAAACTAATTTTATTTCAGTTCGTTGCCAAGGCAGTATTTTTTTACATTTTCATTAAAGTACTTACATTTAAAATAAATATAATTATTAATTATAGTTACATAATTATATTTATAAATAATTATAATTATTTAAAAAATGAATTAAAATTACAAAAGCACATAAAATAACTAAAACTTAAAATGAAGACTGAAAATATAAAAATAAAAGCTAACTCAAACACTATAATAGTATATAATAAACACTGGTTATTACTGATGGTTATCACGAGGTGCTATTTGCAGTTCTTTTCCCTGGTGATGAGTTTTAGGGACTAGATTGTGATGATAACGGAATCTGGGAATTGTCCCGGAATGTTCTGTGCTCTTGACCCCTGACCTTAGAGGTCAGAGCAGAAGCAATATGATGTTTATGTGAGCGCGTGTGTGTTTGCCTAAGGAAAGAGTTCAACATGTTGGTGAGTAAGTGACCTCTATCTGTGTGTGTGTGTGTGTGTGTGTGTGTGTGTGTGTGTATATGTGTGTGTAAGATTGTGAGAAACCATATGGAAGTTTTTTTCTCTTTCTATCTCTTTTCCTCGCTCCCTCCTCTGAGTCTCTGTGGAATGCTTACATGCTGGAATGTCCCAGACAGAATAGAATGGGGGATGCTCATCCCGATCTCTCAGGGAAACGTGTTGGACCATGTTTGCTGTGTGTGTGTGTAATGGGATGATCTGGAATGTTGTTGGTGATCCGGGCGAGTCCCTGCAGGTGCTGTAATCCCTCTGAGCAACATCCGGAAGTTCAGCCAGGATTTGACTTGTCCAGTGTTGTGTTGTGTAGTCTGTTTGAGGTTTTCTCTTTATAGTTATAACTCACTGTCCTAGTATTTTACGCAAAATGGAACATGTTTCCCTCTCCGTTCTCCGATCTTTTTCCTCCTTTTCAGATTTCTTCCATATACTTCCTCTGATTCCATCTTTCCTCTCCCATTTCTTCTCTTTTCTTCTGTCTTGACCGATCGCAGAGTTCCGACCTGTTTGGTTTGACCAATGCCGGCAGAGCTCTAGATGGTGGGGGTGTCTCTAATGGGTCCTTGACCAGCTCTCTGGTTTCTCTGGCCGTCTGTCTTCCTTCTGAGTCTTCTCTTTCTGATTCACTTCTTACCTCTGCGGTAAACACACCCTCAAAAACTCACACACATGTTTAGCAGTTATATAAATATGGACTTATTGAATTTTAAATGAATCAAATAGTGGTCGACCGATATATCGGCCAATATTTGGCATTTTTCAAATAGCGGCATCGGCCAATAAGTTTTTCTGTTTGGCCGATATGTTCAAAGCGGGACTTTTATTTTGACGGCGCTAATAATCAGATAAAGCTGTTAAATAAAGGAATTAAAATGTATACAAAAAAAGTATTATAACGATTGCTTTAATATTATTAGTAATAGAAAGGCAAACATTATAATACTTTCTCATTTGCCATCAGCATTCCACAAATACGCATTTTTTATAATTTAAACAAATTTTTGAATGACTAATGAACATTTAATTTCACAAACCTTGCAGACTTAGTCGAATCTAGTTGAGATCTTGTGAAGTGTGCATTTGTAGCCTGCATGATCACGTGTTCTGTGACGGTCGGTCCGTGTGAATTGAATGCGGACAGGAGGAGAGTTCAGCTTCACTGGAGACGCGTGATCGACAAACTTTAAACTTGTGATTTCAAATTATGCTGCGCTTTATGCATTTGCCCACTGCCATATTCATGTCATTTTCACTGTGTGCTGTATGTAAAATGAGTGCTACCTTGGCTTTATTTGAAAAAACATGATTCCCAAATCCCAATGCACACAAACTTCCCAGAATACTGAGTGCCCTGTTGGTTACAGTGTTTACTTCCTTTTTAATTATATTTGTATTAAATATTTATTTATTTGTGAAAAATACTTTGTCTTCTAGAATATAAGTATGTTTCTTTTACACGTTTATTTTTTAATCCATTTTCAAATGATTTCAAATTTCTTAAATATGAATTAAAATAAATAAAATTATATCGGCTTTATATCGACCATCGGCCACCCTGCTTTCCAAGATATCGGCATCGGTATCGGCTGTCAAAAAACCCATATCGGTCGACCACTAGAATCAAACCATAATCACTACATAACTTTATGTATTGCATTTCTAGAATTAAAAATAAAGCATGAATGACTTTTTACCACGAAAGATGTCTCCAAAAGGAGTTGCAGTTGTCTGAAAAGCATAGCTACCTTAGGCACACATGCATGATTGCCTTTAAATTTATCTCTAATTTTCCTGAAAATGCAATGTGGACTGTCAGATTATGTGCAGGTCCTTGTGAATGTGAATTTACATTGTGCAAAATAATGTAAACGAGCGCCATCTAGTGCTCAATAGACACTGCGTGTAATTTCTGTGTCATATAATTTGTTTTCTGAGTGAATAAAAGAGACATCTGTAATTTGATGGTAATTAAAATGGTATTTTGCACAGAATGCAACACAGAATTCACATTCTTCCTGTATGTCATGAGAAACGTTCACATGGTGTGTTTGATGGTGAATATTTGCTGGCTGTCTGACCGATCTGTGGCGGTTGTCCCTGTTGTTTTTGCTCTAGAGTGAAAGTGTGGATGAAGGCGGTGAGGGAGAGTATGTGAACCTGTACTCCTCCACACAGGCTAATGGAGAAAACACACACCGCACTGTAAGTATGCGTGTCATTGCGTTAAGCTGTGTGTGCATGTGTTTGGAGTGCAATTATACATTTGTCTGAATTCTTCAGGACCCCTCATCATGTGACGATGTGCTTCAGGACCACACCCCTCACATACCCACCTCCAATAGCAAGGAAGCCTTGTCTAAGGACCGGTATGAACTCCAGTCTTTGTACGTGTGTGTTTGCTGTCATATGGACAGGTTAGAGATGTAAATACTTGTGATATGTTTACTTATGTAAATACTTGTGATATGTTTTCTCTCGCTCACAGGCCGAAGGAACCCAGTCATGGTCAGATCGATGATGTTGATGAACTGTCCCTCATTGATCATAATGAGATTATGAGCCGCATCACACTCAAAGCAGAGGTAATAATACTGTTTAAACAGCTCAAACCAAAAGCCAGGATGAACACAGTCATGATAAACCTGGGAATATTAACATTGATTTGATTGGTTATTTGTATTTATTTATTCATGCTTTTGTTTATGCATTTATTTATTTATGCATTGATGCATGAATTTATTTGTGCATTTATTTGTCCACTTTTGCCTGGATTTATGCATTTATTTAATTAAACATTTATTTTTGCATTTGTGCATGGATTTATTTATGCATGCATTTATGCAGTTGTTTATGCATTTATTTATGCATGGATTTATTTGTGTATTTATGCATTTGTAATTGATTTTATCATGCATTTTTATGTTTTATGTTTTTTTTTTAATGCATTTATTTATTTATCCATGTATGCTTCATTTAAATATGGATATTTTTAAATATGCTATACCGTGCATGTATTTCAATATGTTCATATTTTAAAATTTCCACTTCGGGAAAAGTTTTGAAAATTCTTAAAATCTTAAAAGTCATAGAAATGTAAAAAAAAAATGTTATGCAAAGATATAAACAATTTCATCACATAGAAATTGGTCTTATGCGAGGGCATACCACAAACAACTGATAATTCATGGAGATTCATTGGTTAAACAAAAATTGTTTAGAACTGAATTAGTACTTACTTTACAGATGACAAAACTCTAGAGGCACAAATAGTATGTAAATTGACAATCAAATTAGCATAATTATGTATGTGATGTACAGTCAGCCAATCATAACTGCAAAATAAAATCACTGTAGGATTAATTCTGCATGTCATGTTCATTATTCTGCTTATTACATGGCTTATCAGATAAATCAATAGATTGAAAAAAAATATTAATTTGAGTTAAAAATATGCTGTGTTATTGGTAAAGAACGAGGAATCACAGAGGAATTAAGCTAACAGAGTTCTGTTGGAAATCTGTTGCATGTGTGTATCTGATGTATTGTGTTTTTTGACAAGGTCAGAGCTTTTGTCTGTTTCCTCCAGTGTTTAGAGAGTAATTCTGTAGTGGTTGATGCAAGTCTAAAACACACACACACACACACACACACAGACGTCAGCTGGTGCAGTGCTGCGATGGGAAGCCGGACTTCAGTTGCCTGCAGTAATATTTCTCTCTCTCTGATAGAATGATGATGGTCCTGATGTGAGAGCCGGCTCTGGTGATATACTGTTAGTTCACGCTACAGAAACAGACCGCAAAGGTAATTCACATGCTTTCTTCATATGAAGCTCGATCAGTCAGTATGTTTTCTGTTATAATTTGCATTAGAGTGTCTGTAGGCTGATTGATTCCTGCAGTGTTTGTGTGATAGAGGTTTGCTGTATATCTTGAGTGCATGCATAGTAATCATATTTGTCTGTTTGTGTTGTAGATTTGGTGTTGTACTGCGAGGCTTTCCTCACCACCTACAGAACCTTCATAACGCCTGAAGACCTCATTAAAAAACTACACTACAGATATCCTTTCTACTGTGTGGTTTATTTTTATCTGTTAGTAGCAGTCAGTTTGCATGGTGTGTTTTTTCTTAACTGCGCTGCACATATACTCGGTTCTGTCACAGTCCAGACACCTTTAGGAAGCGCGTCAGTAAAAACACGTTCTTTGTGCTGGTGAGAGTCGTGGATGAACTCTGGTGAGTCAATGCATGTTGTTGTTGTTGTTTTTAATGTAGCTACTACTAACAAAAGGTAGCTAACTTAAGTTGAAGCTGGAAAATAAGTTAAAGAAGAAAATGTTTTCAGTTTATTTTTGCAGTAAACGCAATATTTTATCTGCCAGAAACACAATTAAGGACTTAAACATGAATAGCAACATGTCATAAACATGTACAAGTTCATGGTGATTGGTGATTTTTTTTAAACGAATTAATAATAATTTATTCATAATCATTTAAAAATATATTCATATATTCAGCAAGATCACATTAAATTGATCAAAATTGACTGATGATAATAAGTTCATTCAGGAATTTATTCAATGTACTAGATCAAATGATTAATTGATTAATTTAAATAATGTTCCTATTTGTTTTGTGTCTTTTATTTATATATATATATATATATATATATATATATATGTGCTGATGTTTTAGCCGAAAAGCCTAGAATAGGATGTTTATTTTTATCTATTTTCTAGTGTAATGTTAACTTCCGGCTGTTCTACTTTGTCTTTTTCTTTCTTTTCTAAATAAAATTGTGTGTATTTATGAGATGGAAATGAATAACTATACCATTCTCATATCTGATGTGCGATTCACAGACCCTTCAACACAGTGGAGCGTAAATCTGCCTCTCATACAGTTGTTGAATGTGACCAGAACCGAAAAGAGGTGATAGTCCGTACTGGAGGCGCCACAGACAAAGCAGCAAGAAAAGCATACACTTTTGACATGGTGAGTGTTTGGCTTGTTTTCCACGCACATCCTGAGTATTAATGTCATTTAATTATTTTTTTCCTGTGTAGTAATGCTCATTAAATTTGTCATTTCAATTGGTTTAGGTTTTTGGTCCTTCTGCCAAACAAATTGACGTTTATAGGAGTGTGGTTTGCCCCATATTAGATGAAGTTATCATGGGCTATAACTGTACTGTCTTTGCGTGAGTATCTGTATTTTAAATGTCAAATCATTCAACTTTTTTATTCTGAGTTTTTGGACCTAGAAATTTTATTTGGTTTCTATTCTACATTTTAACTAAAGTTATATTTTTTTCCATTAGAATAGCTAAAAAGCTGGCATGGTATTAAAAAAAAAAAATCTTATATATTTATGTAATGGATAATTTCTTATTGGTTTAAGATATGGACAAACTGGAACAGGGAAAACCTTCACAATGGAGGGTGAAAGATCACCCAATGAGGAGTTTACTTGGGAAGAGGTAATATTTGAGTCAAAGTTTGGCTGTTCTGCAGCAGTGGACCATGTGTCAAACCAATGTTGATTAAAGGGACCTTTTTCTATGTGAATATATTGTAAAATGTAATTTATTCCTGTGATCAAAGCTGAATTTTCAGCATCATTACTCCAGTCTTCAGTGTCACATGATGCTTCAGAAATCATTCTAATATGCTGATTTGCTGCTCAAGAAACATTTCTGATTATTATCAATGTTGAAACAGTTGTGCTGCAAAATATTTTTGTGGAAACTGTGAATAAAAAAGTTCAAAAGAACATTTACTTGAAGTAGAAATCTTTTGTAACATTATAAATGTCTTTTCTCTCACTTTTGATCAATTTAATGTGTCCTCGCTGAATAAAAATATGAATAATTAAATCTTACTGACCCCAATCGTTTGAACACAGTGTATGTGTGATTGATTGACCTCTTGGTGTTGAAAAGAAAGAAAAAGAAAAAACATTAATATGGCCCTTTGAAGTTTTATTTTTTATTTTTATTTTTTCCCCCAGAAATTCTGTGTTGGCTGTTGTAATGTTTCTGGATTTAAAATTTAATTAAAATGTATTATCAAAATGGTGGTATTCAAATTAATGCGTCAAACATTAAATTAATTAATATTTTAAAAATGTAATCAAATTAAAATTTAACAATTCCTTTTATTTTTGTCAGATAAGTGATGCAAAACAGAGGTTTGTTATTATTATTGTTATACAATTATACAATATTCCTTAAAAAATATTAATATTATTACTATGTAAAGTATGTTCTACTGTACAATAGCGATATATTTGTCACAATTTCTTCAAGTTTGGTGTTGTCTGTGTGTCAGTCTGGTGGAGTTGACCGAGGACATCCTGCGGCAGTTGATGGATCTGGTCTTCCGGCTGGTCTGTAATGGAGAGCTGAGTCTGGCGAGGGTCCTGCGAAAGAACGTCCTCGATAAAGTGGAACAGAAGAGGCTCCTGCGACACATGCACATGCTGAAACCTCTCGCTGCGCGGGGCGTCTCTGCCAGGTAAAGGTCAAAGTTCAGGGGTCATCGGGGCAGTTCTCATCTGTGCGGGTTTGTCTGTGTGTTTAATCAGCTCGTTCTCCACAGGCCCGGCACGCTGCATGATTTCCGCAGTCATGAGATCGCCGATCAGCTGACGTTGCTGGATGCAGAACTGTTTTACAAGATTGAGGTAACACACACACACAGACACCGTTTTACTTGATATAGTAATGGAAAAAAGTTTTTTGAGATTTGTGAGTGTAAAAAGTAATACCTGCTGTTCTCACTGTCATCTCTGTCTTCAGATTCCTGAGGTGCTGCTTTGGGCGAAGGAACAGAATGAAGAGAAAAGTCCAAATCTGACCCAGTTTACAGAGCACTTTAACAACATGAGCTACTGGTACATATTTACTGATACCTGCTATTCCTTCAAAATGACGCATGCTTTCTATATATGCATATTGCACAAAAAAATATTAAAACAGCATGCTTAAAACAGCATGCTTGTGTGTGATTGGCTAGATTTACGCTCAATTTGCCAGCAAACACAAGTTGTGTGCAAGTACCCAGGCTGATACAAGGATTACTTCTGAGGAAGAACTGGGGTCTGGAATTGTGTAAATTAATTTTGAAGTTACATTTTTTGTTGTAATTTCTCTTAAACATAATATAGACGTATAGGGCCTTATGAAATCCATTGTATAGTATTTTTTTCCCAAATTAGATTTTTCCTGCTTTAATTTTTCTGGATTCCGTTTTCCGTTTCAATAATATTAATCAAAAAGCATTATTAAGTAATTGAAATCATGAGACTTGTACAATTTAAAAGCAATTTATTAAAGGTTTAACAAAAATTAAATTTTTTGAGCCCTATAAAAATCTTTTATTTTTCCCAAATTCTGTCTTTTTCATTGAATTTGTTTGGATTAATTTATAATGGGTTAATGGTTTAATTAAATATTAATAATCAAAAAACATGTCTAATCATCAGCTGACGTTGCTGGATGCAGAACTGTTTTACAAGATTGAGGTAACACACACACACAGACACCGTTTTACTTGATATAGTAATGGAAAAAAGTTTTTTGAGATTTGTGAGTGTAAAAAGTAATACCTGCTGTTCTCACTGTCATCTCTGTCTTCAGATTCCTGAGGTGCTGCTTTGGGCGAAGGAACAGAATGAAGAGAAAAGTCCAAATCTGACCCAGTTTACAGAGCACTTTAACAACATGAGCTACTGGTACATATTTACTGATACCTGCTATTCCTTCAAAATGACGCATGCTTTCTATATATGCATATTGCACAAAAAAATATTAAAACAGCATGCTTAAAACAGCATGCTTGTGTGTGATTGGCTAGATTTACGCTCAATTTGCCAGCAAACACAAGTTGTGTGCAAGTACCCAGGCTGATACAAGGATTACTTCTGAGGAAGAACTGGGGTCTGGAATTGTGTAAATTAATTTTGAAGTTACATTTTTTGTTGTAATTTCTCTTAAACATAATATAGACGTATAGGGCCTTATGAAATCCATTGTATAGTATTTTTTTCCCAAATTAGATTTTTCCTGCTTTAATTTTTCTGGATTCCGTTTTCCGTTTCAATAATATTAATCAAAAAGCATTATTAAGTAATTGAAATCATGAGACTTGTACAATTTAAAAGCAATTTATTAAAGGTTTAACAAAAATTAAATTTTTTGAGCCCTATAAAAATCTTTTATTTTTCCCAAATTCTGTCTTTTTCATTGAATTTGTTTGGATTAATTTATAATGGGTTAATGGTTTAATTAAATATTAATAATCAAAAAACATGTCTAATCATGTGGAAAATAATGTTTTTTTTTTTACCTTAAACCGCATAAACACATTGCATTACACCAAATACACAAAATAATGTTCTTTTTAGCAACGTCATATGACCCCTTTAACTTTTATTTTGACTGGCTGCCATCAAGAATTTTGAGTTTCTGTGTGTATATGATATGACAATAGTTTTTTATCAAGCTGTAACCCTATATTCCACCCTCATGCCCTACTACATATTCCCTATGCTCGCTCAATATCTCTGTCGTCCATGTGTGTACTGAAATGTGATTCCTCCTGTCCACTAGGGTGCGCTCTATCATCATCCAGCAGGAGAAAGCTCAGGACAGAGAGAAACTGCTGCTCAAATTCATCAAAATCATGAAGGTAACTCGAGTAACACACGCATGTGAACATTACCACGCCAAAATCTCGATCATCCACAATCAATTACTCTAAACTGCTTTAGGCTCTATTTGTGGCTGTGGGGTGATTCTGAATGCATCACTCTCTGTGTTTTCTGAGTGATTTAATGGTTTTGTCTCTCTCGTAGCACTTGCGGAAACTGAATAACTTCAACTCTTATTTGGCGATTCTCTCGGCGCTGGACTCTGCACCAATCAGACGACTGGAATGGCAGAAACAGACATCTGAGGTCAGTCACAACAGTCTGACTTCCTTCTCACTGCCAAACCTAACACAACTGAAGAAAATCATCCAATAGTAGCCAATTATATGAAATACGAAAAGACTGTCTTTCGTCTTTCTCTGTGTTTCCAGGGTTTGGAGGAGTACTGCACCTTGATTGACAGTTCATCGTCCTTCCGAGCGTACAGAGCGGCGCTAGCAGAAGTGGAGCCTCCATGCATACCATACCTGTGAGTTTGTGTGTAAAACAAAACTAAACTCTACTAAAATAAAAAACAGGAGTCAGAAAATGAACTGAAATTAAATAATGAATCGGCAAATAAAGCATTTTGTGCTCATTAAAGACGGCTTGTCTAGTGCCAAGGACTGTCTGGTGAAATCTGCCCGTTTCGCAGCTTTTGAGAGTCAGAGAAGCACAAATTCCTAGCTTTGACTAATTTTGTGAGGTTCATGACATTGAATTTTGACCTGCATGAAAATAAGTGACCGAGTGTTATTTTAGTATTACTTATGTATTATTATAGTATTTATTATGATTTTAAATTACCTTTTAATTATTATATTTTCATTTAAAATTTTAGTAGATTTGTTTTGTGCTTTTGTCATTTTTATAATTTTTTTTTATATATTTTTATTTAGCTTTGTTTGTTTCAGTCATTTTATTAATTTTATTTCTTCAACAAACTGTTTTTAAGGACCAGTGTTGTTTTAGTATTATTTATGTATTTATTAATATTTTAAATGACCTTTTAATTTCATATTTTCAGTTTTCGTTTTAATTTTAGATTAAAGTTTAGTCATTTTGCTTTGTGCTTTTGTCATTTTTTATTAGGTTTTAAAAAAAATGTAAGCTTTATTTTTATTTCAGTCATTTTTAGTCATTTTATTTCTTCAAGAAACTTATTTTAGTTGGTTGCCAAGGCAACGTTTCTCATTTAGTTTCTCAGTTAGTTTTCCATCTTATTTTTCCACTTTTTCATTTTATTTTATTTACTGAAACTGATTTTTAATAGATTTTGTTGCCAATAACAAACACTGACATGCCCATCTGATGTTTTCTACACGTCTGCTGAATTTCAACAAAAACTGACTTTATTAATTAAAACTAAACAGTAACTCATTTCACTTCTGAAAACAACTAAACTAAAATATAGCTCATTAAAAATGTATCAATAAAAATAAACATTCAAAACTGCATTAATCTGATGTGAATTATATATATATACAATGACAGTTATTGAAGATTGTTTAATGTTCCATGTTTTAGTTTTGCTAATAATGTTGTTTTGTTGACAGGGGTTTGATCCTACAGGACTTGACTTTCGTTCACCTCGGAAACCCGGATTTTATTGACGGTAAAGTGAATTTCTCCAAGCGCTGGCAGCAGTTCAACATTCTGGACAGCATGAGACGCTTCCAGCAAGTGTGAGTAATCTGCTGGCCTGAAACCCAGCGTTTGACGAACATGAGATTAGATTACATGTGATTCAAGCTGCAGTCCAAAACTCTGCCGTAGACTTTGCTCTAACAGACTTGTAGAATGAAGCAACGAGGCATGAAAGACCGTGGTCAAATCAAACATCATTTAATTAATTAGTTAATCATAATTATTGCATAAAAGTCATAATTTTGAGATACTGAACCCAAAAATAATTAACATGAGGTAAAAAGTTGAAGTGATGACAAAAAAAAAAACTATTATGACAGTCATAATTATGACAGAAAATGCACAATTGTCACATAAAAAGTAAAAAAAACAAAACAGTTATAAGTCAAGTTATAAGTCATTATGAGATAAAAAGTCAAAATTATGACAAACAATAATGGCAGTCATATTTATTATGACAGTCATAATTATGACACAATTATGACAGCCATGATTATGACAAAAAGTAATAATTGACATGAAAATAACATAAGTCAAAGTTATGAGATACAAGAGTCAAGAGATAAAAAGACAAAAGACATTGACAAAAACAATTATGAAAAAGTTATAATTATCACATAAAATGCAAAATTTTGACATAAAACCTCAAAATTATCATTAAAAATAATTATGACGTATGTCGAAATTGAGATACTGAGTCATTATGAGATTAAATGATGAAATTGACAAAAAACATAATTATGACCAAGTCAGTAATTTTCCACCAAGTCAAAATTGACATAAGAAGGCATAATTATGACATAGAAATTCAAAATTGAGATACTGAGTCACTACGAAAATAAAGAATCAGAATTATGAATGATTATGGCCAGAAAAAAAAACTATTCGAAAAGTCGAAATAAGATAAACATGTATAACTATGATTTACCAAAACATTCTTTTTTTTCCCCCATATATTTTAGAGCTGGAACTATGCGGTTTTTTAATGTGTACCATTTTTATTTATGCACATTAATATGAATTAGTTTATTAGAAAATTGATTATTGATTAATATTTAATGTTGTATATACATTTGTGACCCTGGACCACAAAACCAGTCATAAGTGTCAATTTTTCGAAATTGAGATTTATAAATCATATGAATAAATAAGCTTTCCATTGATGTATGGTTTGTTAGGATAGGACAATATTTGGTTGAGATACAACTATTTGAAAATCTGGAATCTGAGGGTGCAAAAAAATTAACATACTGAGAAAATCACCTTTAAAGTTGTCCAAATGAAGTTCTTAGCAATGCATATTACTAATCAAAAATGTAGTTTTAATATATTTACAGTAGGAAATGTATTAAATATCTTCATGGAACATGATCTTTACTTAATATCCTAATGATTTTTGGCATAAAAGAAAAATCGATAATTTTGACCCATACAATGTATTTTTGGCTGTTGCTACAAATATACCCCAGCGACTTAAGACTGCTTTTGTGATCCAGGGTCACATTTCATATATCAGTTGCAGATTTCACTAGTAACTGATTTAAAAAATTGGTTCCATTATTAATTTTTATCTTTAATCGTCTTTGTAGACACTACGAACTGAAACGGAACGAAGACATCGTCTCATTCTTCAACGACTTTAGCGATCACCTGGCAGAGGAGGCATTATGGGAGCTCTCGCTCAAGATCAAACCACGAAACATCTCGCGGCGCAGGACGGAGCGCGAGGAGAAGACCTAGAACCTGAAATCTAGAACCTCAGAGACAATTTACGGTGAGACCTGAACCTCCTGCAGAACCTTGGGAACCCGCGCTAGGCTGTTTCACTCACGCTAGAGTTCTTAATGGAGCTGGAGCTGAACCGACACACGCAAGCTCCTATTTGCACCAATAAACTGAGACATTGGCAGTATTTTTCCCTGACTGTTGACTTTAAAAACTCACGAGGGGAATCCCGATTCAGTATAGATATACAGATATGCACTCACGCGCGCACAGAGGGCTCGAGAGGACCCCAACGCTGTGATATAAAGCGAAATCCTCACAACTTTCCATGTTTGCGTGTGTTGATGTGTGGCTGTACAGAAAGACACGCTCTAAGAGGGCTTGGATCATTTGATATTAATACACTGTGCCTGATGGAGTGAGTTCGTGTTTGTTTGTCCCGCTCGGACGTACCGTTTGACCTTCCAAAGGTCTGATTCAACCTACGATTCGCCCGTTTGGAAATGGGTCGATTGGGAAACGGGCAGACATGTGTGCAATCTTATAAGCGTTTTATAAGGAATATTCACTGATCTGTTGAAATGAATATGTTTTGACAGACGCGTTGAGTAATGGAATATATGGAATATATTAATTTGAAAATTAAAGAATGAACTGGACGTTTGGACTAATTTTTCACATCATCTTGCTATATTGTTTTGTGTGTGATCATGTGCACCCCTCATTATAACTGTTTACCCCATCACATGGCTGACAGCCTCTCGATTTTCCAAATAAATTGTCAAAAACTTGCTTTTTTACCTTAAAAAAAGAAGAAAAATGTACATTGTGACATTATTTTCATGACTTTTTCTTTTCATGCACATTTCTTTCTCTTCCCAATTCTCAGTAGCTTGCAAAATGCCAAAAATTATTATTATATTAAAAAATACATGAATATAAAAATATAAATGTTCATTTAAAATCAATTTAATGAGTAAAATCAATACTCATTCAAAAGTAAAGTGCATTTGTAAGGTACAAATATAATGGTAGTATTTGTTGTACTGTGAATTAAATTTATCCTAATTTGAAGCGGAAAAATGCGTCACATTCATAAAACAAAAACATAAATTTAAAAAAATTTAAATTTTTCATAAAGCCTTTATGCAGTTTTTTCACAAGTTTACATGAAAATGGTTTATGAAAGATTCAAACAGAAAATCATTAAATTATTCAATGCATAAAAAAGCTTTACAAATCACAAAGAAAATTGTTCATGCTTTATGAATAAGGCTGGAGCTATATATATATATATATATATATATATATATAATGATATCGTCCTCTTTTGGAAGGCCAAACAAAGTACTTTTTCTTTCGCAGCAAACCACACAGTGTCTCCATGACATGGCGGCGTTTTATATGGTTTAATACTACAGCGAGAATAAAAGTTACTCCTTCTTTCTTTGTGTGAACATTTGGGCGGTGTTATGCAAATCTTCCCACATAGTGTGGTAGATATGTGGGGGCGTGTTCGAACGAGCCGTTTTAGGTAGGTGTGGCTGACTCTTTAACTTTTATAAAGAATATCTCTTTGGATTTGAGACTTTAGTCTTTACAACTTTACAGATCTTCTTTATGCACCAAGAGCTTGTAACACTCCAAAGAGAAAGGAAAAAATGAAATCGCATCATATGACCCCTTTAAACAATAGTGTATCTTGGGAGTATTATGTAAATATCATGATCAATGAATAGGGTAATCAATCTGTATCAAGTTACTATCATGGTACTATCACGTTATAGTAATACCATGATTTTCTTTGTGGATATTCTTTTTTTCTTTTTGGAAATTCAGAATCAGTACTATGGTACAATACTACCACATACCTTGAACTAATAGCATGTTTCTCGGACATACACAATGGTATTTGCGTGTAAATAGTCATTTAAGTACCATGGTATTTCCATTAGGGGTGTAACGGTAGACGTATTGTGTACTGAACTCGCGAGCACCCCCTTTGCGGCCGTTATGCGCCCTCAATATGCACTTCTGCCGAGCCCGCACTGGGGCGAGCTCCGCAGCAGACTTCTACCGGACAGTCAAAGCGGTATTACGTCACGAAAGTGCGGACTCCGAGGAAGACCGCGAGGGTTTAGGGTGCCATTTGGGACAGGGCCGTAGTCGTTTGGAATGCACTTGGCAAAGGGAGCGACGTAATTTCCTCATTATCTTCAGCTGGGATGTTCCCGTGACAACGCAGCATGGTGTCCGTCAGCAGATCTTGCTGTTTTAATGTCATAAATGTATTTTTTTATTGTTGTTAGCATAACTGTTGCAAATAAACATACATTTTATATTTTAAAAAGTTGTTAAAAATGCTATATAATATATAAAAAAATAATATATATAAAACTTTTTAAAATATAAAATGTTTATTTTTTTTAATGTCCATCAGCAAATCTGCTGACGGACACCTTGCTGCGTTGCCACGGGAACATGCCAGCTGAAGATAATGAGGAAATGACATCGCTCCCTTTGCCAAGTGCATTCCAAACTACTACATAATGGCACACATGTGCCCTGCTCACTCCAAAGTCCCCACTCCAAGGGGATAGGGATGATCACTTCCATTTGGAATTTGCCCCGTGAACCGTATCGTGTACCGTTACACCCCTAATTTCCATGTATTACTATAGTACATCATCACCTTCATTTGTATAGTGCTTTTCATAGTACTATGAAAAACTGTACAAATACATGAAATGAATTTTCGTTATTTCTTCTATCTGACACTATTTCTTTTATGAAACACAATGTAAAATGTACAAAAGAGAAGAGACGTTTAGTAACATAAGCATGTACTCTTTAATGTTTAAAAACAGTTTGTACAAGAAAAATGCAAAATCTGATTACAAATAAAGAACCATTTTAAAATATTCACATTTAGGAACAAATTACAGAGTGAGGTGAGCAACATAAATTATACAGAACATTAAAAATAAAGTGATAGTGAGATTAATATTTTAAATACTAAACTATCACTGTAATTCACAAGAAGTATTTTACTTCATTCATTTCCCGTCTTATCCTGACCAAACAGGAGTTTATGATCTAGACAAGGCAGTAACACCCTTACGAAGCACTGAAACTTTATTTCAGGTGTTAAAAAGCCATTATACTTGATGACACGCAACTTTTCACTTCACAAGACATTAACTTGATGGAGTGGTGTGGATTATTGTAATGTTTTTATCAGCTGTTTGGACTCTCATTCTGACGGCACCCATTCACTGCTGAGGAACCATTGGTGAGCAAGTGATGCAATGCTACATTTCTCCAAATCTTTTCCCATGAAGAAACTCATCTGCATCTTGGATGGCCTGAGAGTGTGATCATTTTCATCAAATTCTAATTTTTGGAAAAAAATATTCCTTTTAATTCTATGAAAAGAGAGCCTGACAGAGATGTGTGCGTTGGAAGCATGCAGAGAAAAAAAAGCTTTCGGGTTTTTTGATCGTATGACTCTCTTCTCTGTGTGTTAATGTGGTCGTGTGCTGGGCTCCAGTAGGGGGCGTTTCACCGGCATGCTCCCGCCTCCGCTAGATTTCTCGCTGTGTTCGGCCACGCCCCTCTTTAGACTCCGCCCGTGGGCGTGTCCATTGACAGAACCCCTCTGCCATTTGCAGATGTCACCATTGAGGATGTCCTGAATATGCTGCACAATCAGGTTTATTGCCACTAAAGAAGATCCAAAAGACAAAAGAGAAGCAACAGTTTAGAAAACCAAGGTTTATTTTTGAACATTTATTGCCTTTTGGCTCATATTTACCCATGTTATCAACTCCACGAGGTATTATGACATCTGCATATTTCTTGGTCTGAGGTTGGAGAGAGATTTCAGATGTCATGAATGCATTATATAACTATAACCCAACTATCCAATGTCAGTTCAGCTTTTGTTATGTGTGTTTTCTCACCGGAAGGCAGAACTCTTCAAAGGCTGGTTTAACAAACGTGGTGTACTGCGTGAGAATCTGTTCCAGATCTCGACCTCTTCTCATGTCGCGCAGAACTAAACGCACAAAATACATGCTGTTATACAGGCAACATACAGCTAGGGTGATTCATATTTTATGTTTCCATCAAATTAAAATTAAAGATATGAAATTTTGACTGAAAACTAAATGAAATAAATGTACAAGTTTGGGGTCAGTAAGATTAGTAGATTTTTTTTTTTATTCATATTTTTATTTAGCAAGGAAACATTAAATTGATCAAAACTGTCAGTAAAGACATGTTGCAAAAGACTAAGTAATTTAAACTTTATTTTAAATAAATGCTGTTCTTTTGAACTTTCTATTCATCAAAGAATCCTAAAAAAGTGTCAGTTTCCAAGCACACAAAAAAACTGGTCTCAATAGTAAAAATGCATTTTAATAATAAAAAGTGCAAAAAACCTTGCTATAAAAATTATTATTATATAAAATACATAAAAAGGTTCTCTCTACTGCACAGAAATGACTTGGTGTGATCCGTTTGATTTACCGATAATTTGTGCATTACCTCTGCGAGACAGGCGTACGTCTGAGTCTGTGTCCACAAACAGCTTCATGTGGAACATGTCTCTGACTTCCTGTGTGTAGAACACCAGAATCCCCTCAAACAGCACCACATCAGCGGGATACACACATATCTTCTCTGGCAGCCTACACACACAATCGACAGTCAGACAAACACACGCTATCAAAGTACACATAAAGAGAAAGTGTGTCAGTGACCGACGTAACATTATGAGGGAAAAGCGTGTCTTATTGCCTGGAATGGGTGACGAAGTCATACGTGGGAACCTCCACCACCTTTCCTTCTACGATGTCCTTCAGCGTCTGACACATTAACTCCGTATCAAACGCATCTGAGAGAGAGAAAACTTAATAGTGCATTAACCCTCTAAGCGCCAAAGTCGCAAAATTGATATGCAAATTAGACGAGTATATTTACACCCCACATAAACTTTCGGTCATGCCCAACATTTTTCTAATTTACAGTAAATCTCTATCTTCAACCCCTTTCAAACCACAAGCTTTTGAAATCTTGACAAAATCCAGCATTTTCCCCAAAAATCCCTGGCGCCTAAAGGGTTAAAAACGGCATTTAATGACCCTCATGTCGTTCCGCATCTGTTTCCCTGAACTTTTCTTGCAATGGCTTTGTGTTTTAAGGACATAAAGATCAAATCACAGCATCTTTACACACGGTTGAATTATTCCTTATTGTTTTTTTACCTGGATGGTCAAAGTTGTACTGGCCTTTCAAAGCTTTGGCCTTCTGTTCTGGAGTGAGAACCCGGTAGAAACTGTCTTGACTGACGATAGTGACCTTCCTCTGGTGATGATCCACCTTATTCTGACCCAAAAGCTCCATGATTTTTGCACACACTGTGGACTGACAGGAGAAAAACAGCCGTTACTGTCCTGGACTGACAATCTAATAGTGTCTATTTGCAATTTCATCAGCCTGAATATCATTATAGATGCTGTTACAAGAGGACACTAGATGTTAATACAAGGGCCTGTTGCGATTGCTACAGGTTATCTGTGAAAAATGACTACATTTCCCTGTCGTAATTACATTTTGCATGCTGTTCTTGCATGCATTTCACTGAAATGCAAACATGCACTATATATTTAAGGCACAAAAGAGGTACATGTTGAGTGTGACTTGGCTAAAAGAAAACAGTTGGTGCAATATGCATCAGTTTCCATCATGCATGTAGTGTTTCGTACCTTTCCGCTGGCCGTTCCTCCGCTCACCCCGATCAGGAAAGGACTGTGCCACGGCCGCTCGGTTTCACAAAGCAGTCCGGCTGAATTCATGCTGGTACAGTAACAAAAACGGCGTTTTCTTCAAGTATGGAGTCCGGGTGAATGCATAAACTCGTTCTTTAGATGATCGGTCATCAGTTGGAGGCTGTCTGGGCGGCGTATGGTCGATTACCGCCTAGTTTCACTATCAGCCACGGCCGATAAGTACTCCAATGTTACTGTACTATAGTTAGTAAAAGGGACATTTCTGTTCCTCCAGGGGGCGCTAGGTGACTCAGAAGGGCGAGTCCCCATTGAGGATCATTCAAATGTCATGACGTGTTTTGTCTTACTGGAGACATTTGTAGATTATAAAGTATCATCTTTTAAATCTACAAATGTCCGAGATTGATTCCTGACATATGAGTGGAAACCGCTTCAGAAGAATGCGGTTTTAAAGCAGCCGTGGTAGTAACTGCTAACGATTGTGATTGGTCCGTTTAGTGCAGCGCTGAGAAAAGTAACAGGTGTCATGTGACCCTGTCTATGCGATGTTTCTTCAGCAGTCTAGATAATAATTTACAATTGAGAAATGATACTGAGAAACTTTAATTTATGTTGAACTGAGAATAGATTGTATAGAACTGAAGTAGGAAAAATATTTTTTATCCCGATCGCTAAGCCCCGCCCATCCTACGCATGTTTCTGTTGATGCCATTCTACCTGTTTTTTTTTTCTATTTATATGCTGTCGCTTCTGAACGTGACTGCGTCACAGCATGCTACGCAAACTCCACGAAACTTGTAATCAAATAGTGTAATCAAACCATCTTCAAACATTTTGTATTTCTGCTTTTTTGATTCATTTAAAGTTCTTTTTTTTAAATGAACAAACATTTCCCTTTAATTGAAAGGGAAAAAAATAACTTTTTTTAAAATAATAAAATATATTTAAAAAATAAATATATTAATATATACATATGTAACTCGTAAACAAAAGCGTAAAGGTGTTGCAATAACAGTATTGATTTAGTTGTATTCATGTTTACCAGTCGAAGGTCGCTGATAAAGTGAAGAAATATCATTCAAGTGAAAATGTTGCAGTGACCACAAGGGGGGACCAAACACTTAAAAACAACTTCTCCAAAGTGATTAGATGGTTGTTTTAATGCTTTATTAAGAAAAATATAACAATAATAAATGTCCAGTGATGCAATTGACAAATGTCAATCATGTTTTGTCTGAATCATCGCTCAGATGTGTTGGTTTCGGATCATCTGGATTATTTCTTGACGCCTCCTTTATTGATTCCCCCGCAAAAATTTCCAGGGCCTCGTCCCCTTGAACTCTTCGGACTGATTCTCCTTTAGCAGCCAAGATTTCCTCTATGTTTCTATGGCAACACAGAACATACAGCAAGTCAAAGTTTTTGTCATAATGCTTCGGGTTTTCCAACTCGGGCCCAGGGGATTAAGTTAGATTAAAATAAATAATAAAAATTAGTTTAAAATAAATAATAAATCTAGCAGTACAGTACTATAGTTAGTAGAAATAATACTGTAATGTAATGAAACGAAATCATTTCAAACAATATTTTACACATGTATAATTAATTTTAAATAATAATACATTTTAAATGGGGGTTTTCGACGTGGGTGTGTAGACTGTACGATGCATGCGCTAGCATGATAAATCACACTTTAGGAGTTGTAGTTTTTATGTGTGCTGAAAAAAAGTGGAAGCGGCGAAAGAGGAAGGGATAAGAGCTTGAGGTAAGCAGTTTTATGTTTTAGCGCCATGTCGTATTTTTATTGGTTGGTCAGTAAACGTGGATCGTAGCAGCAAACACACTGTGCGATGATCATGCTGAATCGTAGGCTGTCTTTGACCGTTGACCTTCGTGACAACAACAGTCGTCTTTGAACCTCACTCACTGTATGATAGGGTGACCATACGTGCCATTTTCCCAGGGCGTCCTGGCCAGGATTTCTATATTGCCTAAAATATCTAGGTTTTGGCTTTGTTTGCGTGTGTGGACCGATCGGTGTATGACATCAAAATACCTCGAGAGCATTTTGAAAGCATAAGGAACCGTCTGTATGGTACTTTGATGTCATACACCGATCTGTCTGCACACGCAAACAAAGCCAAAACCTAGATATTTTAGGCAATATAGAAATCCT